TCTTTGGACACTGAGGAATCTCTCCGATGCTGCAACCAAGCAGGTAGAGCAGGAGGAGACAGGGCCTGGGCCATGAGGTGCGGATGAGCTCGGCCTAGCGCCTGCCCCTTTCTCTACAGGAAGGCATGGAAGGTCTTCTGGGAACTCTTGTCCAGCTGCTGGGCTCCGATGACATCAATGTGGTCACCTGTGCCGCTGGAATCCTGTCTAACCTCACTTGCAATAACTATAAGAACAAGATGATGGTGTGCCAGGTGGGCGGGATAGAGGCTCTGGTGCGTACCGTCCTGCGTGCTGGGGACAGGGAGGACATCACCGAACCGGCCATCTGTGCTCTGCGCCATCTAACCAGCCGACACCAGGAAGCAGAGATGGCCCAGAATGCTGTTCGCCTTCACTACGGCCTCCCGGTGGTGGTGAAACTCCTGCACCCACCATCCCATTGGCCGCTGATAAAGGTGAGTCGTCGGGAACCGAAAACGGACCACCTTCCATGCTGTGGGGCCGTCTCGGGTGTGGGGCTGGTAGTGTGGGATCCCAGGGAACTTGTCGGTGCACGTATGGAGATATGGGCTAAGAAAATGATGGTGCTGTCTGCCAATTCTCCCCTCTCGTCTTCAGGCTACAGTTGGACTGATTCGCAATCTCGCCCTCTGTCCAGCAAACCACGCGCCTTTGCGAGAGCAGGGTGCTATTCCACGCCTGGTCCAGCTGCTTGTGCGTGCACATCAGGACACCCAGCGCCGCACATCCATGGGTGGGACGCAGCAGCAGTTCGTGGTAGGTGGACCTGAGGTGACGCTGGCAGTCCTCGAGGAAGGCCTGAGTCCAGTGGTGCTGGCCTGCCTCCTCTCGACCCGACTGCAGGGTTGCCAGTTGTCCTGCACTGGGCCTTGTTTGCACTGTTCACTGTACTTGGCTTCCGGCCCGTCTTGGGAGTGTGGCTCCATAAATCCCAGGCGGTGCTTTTTCCTCACAAAGCTTTTTTGAGAAGAAAGGAGCTTTTGTAGTCTCATAAAAACAAGCTCTTTAGAAAAGCCATTAAAAGTAGCAAAATTACAACTTCTTAAACTCAAATCCAAAAACAGAAAACAAAGGGTACTTAATGTTTTGCGAAAGTCACGTCCCTCTCCTGTGCAGTCAGTGGAACAGTCTTGGCTGTGGTGAGCAGCAGCTGTCTTCTGTCAGCCGAGTAGAATTTCAGCAGTAAGAGAAGCAAAGGTCCTGCTGGGTAACACTTGATGGACCAGGATGGGGACTTCTGACAGCAGATCAGGAAGAACTGACTCGTCCCCACCCTCTGCTGCCCGCCTGCTCCCCGTCTGCATGCACACACTCCTCAGCCAGAGGGGCAGGCCCTTGTCTGGAGAAGGCCCTCCTCGGGAGCCGAGCTGTGGGAGCTGTATCGTGTTCCCGGGAGTCTTGGGGGCTGTTCCTGGGATCCCCCAGACACCAGAGCCTTAGCTTTGTGGCCAGATATTTCCTGTAGCCTGGCCATCTCTGAGTTACTTACAGTGTATGTGTTCTCTGCCCACGCTGGGAGCCGTCGGAATCCTGAGCCAGGCTCAGACAGACTGCAGGGTGGGGCAGGCTGCGTGGGCAGGGCCTTGGCGCAGGCGGTGCGCATGTGCTGTGCTCACCCCATTCTTCTGTAGGAGGGCGTCCGCATGGAAGAGATAGTCGAAGGTTGTACTGGAGCCCTGCACATCCTCGCGCGGGACGTCCACAACCGAATTGTCATCCGAGGACTCAATACCATTCCATTGTTCGTGCAGGTGTGTTGGGTTTGAGTGGAGTTTTCTGGAGTTGACATGTCCCTAAGGCTTCAGGAAATCCAAAGCCACAACAGAGGTAGTCATACTTGATTGCATGAAAGTGCGCCTCATTTTCTTGGTCAGGAGAATCACTGGGACTAGAGAGAGCCTCAAGAAGAGTGGGTAGAGCACAGGCCTCGAGCCAGCTCTTGACTTTGCAAGTCTTGGATTAAAACGTTGGCCTCTAAAGACAGTGCTCCTGGCTGCAGGTGTTGCAGGGCACCGCCCGTGGGATGTGTGGAGAGGCCATGATGCGGCCGCAGTGCCGCCTGCACCCCATGCCGGGCAGTCGGCCGTGCTTCATGAGGTTTTGCTTCTGTTGTTCCTCCCCAGCTGCTTTATTCTCCCATCGAGAACATCCAAAGAGTAGCTGCAGGGGTCCTCTGTGAGCTCGCTCAGGACAAGGAGGCTGCAGAGGCCATTGAGGCGGAAGGGGCCACCGCGCCCTTGACGGAGCTGCTGCACTCGCGGAATGAGGGCGTGGGTGAGTGGGGCGCGGCCGGGGCGCGGGCACGTGACGGGCACAGCCAGCCCACGATGCTCACAGCCTCCCTCCCTGGCAGCCACGTATGCAGCGGCCGTGCTCTTCCGAATGTCTGAGGACAAGCCGCAGGACTATAAGAAGCGGCTCTCCGTGGAGCTGACCAGCTCCCTCTTCAGGACGGAGCCCATGGCTTGGAACGAGGTAGGTGGCCAGTGAGCCTTGGCCTGACAGTGGGGAGCCGAGCTACAGCCCTAAGAGCCCATCAGGATGAGCTCAGCGGGCCCTTGGGGCACAGGAAGCTGGGCGAAGGGGTGGACAGGGAGCGCTGTCTGTAAGCGGCAAGTTGCTACTTTGCTTTAAAACATATGCAACACTTTCCATGTGTTTTTAGTGGGTTACAGTTCGGGTTTCAGGGTTTGTCCTTAGCACAGGTATGTGTTGACGCGTTGTTTCCAGTAAGTGGGGTAGCCAGCGCCTTCGAGTTTCCCTTATCTGACGGCTCGGTCACATGGTCGTGGTGCGGGTTGGACAAGCGGGACAGTGGCAAGCTCGTGTTGCTGGCAGGGAGAATGTGCCGGCTGGGGTTTAGCAGCCTCTGAGGAATTTGTCCCGGCCTGCGCCTCCCCGCGCCTGTGCTCACGGCCGTCTCGGTGTCTGAGGCTCGGTGCGCCTGCGCCTCCTGCGCGCAGTCTGCCTCTGCCTCTGCCTCTGCCCGGCGCTGCTGGCTCCCTCCTGTCCTGAGTGTGAGTGCAGTGCTGGCGCAGAGCAGGTACTGAGCCTGTCTGTGTTGAGGGTAACTTAGTAACTGTTTTTAGTACTATGTGCAAAGAAAACGTGTCATCTTGAAAGGGTGATGTTTGAAGGCCTAAAATAAGTGTTTCTGTCATCTTGGAGTTTTCAGTCCCTTCTGCACCCTTCAACTGAGAAGGCTCATTGTGCCTGTTCTTCCTGCCTTGTACCTGTCTCCCCAGACTGCTGACCTCGGACTTGACATCGGTGCCCAGGGAGAACCCCTTGGATATCGCCAGGATGGTATGTTCTCCCGTTTCCCGACGGAGCCCTGGGAGGCTTGGCTTCTAAAGCCTTATCAGCTCCTGAAGCGGAGCTGGTGCTCGTCTGGGAAAATAGTGTTGGCAGGAAAGCAGAGGCGGTTCTGTAATTCCAGAGTCAGCAGCATGTCCTTAGCGCAGGGAGTGCCCAGCCATCTGAGCGGCGGCAGTCACACCAAGCACTCCCCTCGTGCCTGGCTTCTTGCTCTCCCTTTGGTCATAGAGCCCACAGCGTCTGTCCACACCCTACCACGGGGGTGTGTGTGGGAAGTTCCTGGCTCTGAGCTCGGCACAAGCTGCTCCTCACCTGGCTGTGATACTGGGGTTTCCTGAAAAGCAGAGCCAGGTCTGGGCAGTGAAGGTGAAGGACTGGGATGGCTCCCGAGGCACACAGGCCTCTTGCCTGACTGCAGGGTCCACCCTGAGAACACTGCTGTGAAAGTCCCATGGAGACGCTGTCCGGCACCCGCAGTGCTTGCTGGCCTGGGCTTGTAGCTGCCAGATGTCCTTGGGCCTGTCTGCGCCCCATCCTCCCTGACTTCCAGAGCCCGGGGTTGGTTACAGTATCCCACTGCCACGTCCTTCCTGTGCCCCCATGTGTGAGCAGACAGCAGGGCCGAGACCTCCAGGGCAGGCACTGTCTGTGCAGGCTCTGGGTGGCCTGATGCTGAGTCACTGCGTGGCTGGGGCAGGCCGGAAGCGGAAAGGCGCTAGAGGCAGAGCTTCCTGCCTGTGGGTGCCCCGGCCTCCACGCTGACCTGTGTGTGTGTGTGTCTGTCTCTCCCGTGCTGGCCCAATCTACCCTCCACCTTCCCAGACCCCAGCTACCGCTCTTTCCATTCCGGCGGCTACGGCCAGGATGCCTTGGGCATGGACCCCATGATGGAGCATGAGATGGGCGGCCACCACCCTGGTGCTGACTACCCCGTGGACGGGCTGCCGGACCTGGGGCATGCCCAGGACCTCATGGACGGGCTGCCGCCAGGTGACAGCAATCAGCTGGCCTGGTTCGATACTGACCTGTAACCCGCCTTTAGGTAAGAAGTTTAAAAAGCCAGTTGGGTAAAAACTTCTACTCTGCCTACAGAACTTGAGCGTGACTTGGTTGTAGGGTGGGAGTGGCTTGGGCCTATCTGTAAATCTGCTACAAAAACAGATCTCTACTTTGAAAGGAGATGTCTTGGGACATTCGAATGTTCTTGGATTTCTGGTTGTTCTGTGATCATGTGTTTGGAAGTTGTTAACTTTAATGTTTTTATGCCACAGCTTTGCAGCTTATACTCCAATGAGTCCATGTGCTGTTTAACGTTAATAGCAGCCTTTCTCTGTGCAGCTGTGCTGTCTGAACTCGGTTGTGACTGGCCTGTAGCGTTGCGGAGGGCTCGAGGGTGGGCTGGTATCTCAGAAAGTGCCTGACACTAACCGCGCGGAGTTTCCCATGGGAACACTTGAAGTAAACTTTGTTCTGGTCCTTTTCGGTCGAGCAGTAACAATACAAATGGATTTGGGGAGTGACTCGAGAAGTGAAGAGTGCACGAGAGTGGATCAAGGATGGAATTTCTCAAACCCTAGCCTTGCTTGTTAAAGAGTTTTTTTAAAAAAATATCTGTAATGGTACTGACTTTGCTTGCTTTGAAGTAGCTCTTTAATTTCTTTTTTTTTTTTTTTTTTTGCAGTAACTGTTAGTTTTTTAAGTCTTGTAGTGTTATGTTATAGTGAATACTGCTGCAGCAATTTCTAATTTTTAAGAATTGAGTAATGGTGTAGAACACTAATTCATAATCACTCTAATTGTAATCTGAAAAAAGTGTAACATTGTGTAGCCTTTTTGTATAAAATAGACAAATAGAAATGGTCCAAATAGTTTCCTTTTTAATATGCTTAAAATAAGCAGGTGGATCTATTTCATGTTTTTGATCAAAAACTTTATTTGGGATATGTATGGGTAGGGTAAATCAGTAAGAGGTGTTATTTGGAACCTTGTTTTGGACAGTTTACCAGTTGCCTTTTATCCCAAAGTTGTTGTAACCTGCTGTGATACGACGCTTAAGAGAAACTACGGTTATAAAAATGGTTCAGAATTAAACTTTTAATTCATTCGCCAGTGTCACCTTTTCTTCCTTGTCCTTTGTGTGGCGCGCCCAGGTCCTGGGGAGATCACACAGCAGGACTGTCCCGTGGTGGCAAGCGAGGGGGCTCCTCATGGCCCAGGTTGCACTGGACCCAGAGCACAGGGCGGGGCCTGGTGAGGAGGAGACCCTGCCCGTGCTGGCTCTGCCTGGCGCCCTGCATCTGGGTGGGAAGCTGTTCCTCCAGAGCTGTGCCAACTCCACCCGGCAGGGTGGCCGCTTCTCTGAGGCTGTGGGGACCGTGGCTCCTGCCATCCTGGTGGTGGGTCTGGCCCTGCCTCGGTCTGGGCAGCCTGTTCAGACTCGCACCTTGCGCTTCACAGCGTGCCTCATGGACCAGTTTCTGATCTAGACCGAGACCTCCACAAGCACACACCCGAATTAGCATCTGGGGCCCTCACAGACAGCTGCCGTACCCGCGCTGACCGGGTTAGAGAGCCGAGTCGTGGGACGGAGGCAGCAGAGACAGGGACACTGCTGGGCACAGGGACAGGCATGTGGACAGCGGGAGCAGGCCAGGGCTGCTGCTCACGTGGAGAGGTGGCTGGTGCTGGAAGGAAGTGGACCAGGGGCCTTCGAGGTCGAGCTGTCGAACTCCAGGTGACCATCTGAATAGAACAAGCTGGGACAGAACATCCACGGCCCAGGCTCTGGCGCCGAGGGCAGGGTGACAGCCCCACAGATGCTGCAGGCTGGGCCACTGTGCGAAAGGGCCTCCTGCGATGCGTGGGACGGTGGCCTCGCTGACCAAAGGGACACGGTCTCCGGAAGTGGGATGCAGGCCTTGCACAGCTGCAGGCGGCATTGCGTGCTTGGCTGGGGAGCAGACGTCTGGCCGAGGACGTGAGGGACGGGGGAGAAGGGCGTGGTGTTGGGAGGGCTGCCCAGCCCCAGCTGCCCTACGCAGACTGATTAGGGAACGGCCTGGCACTGCCCACTGTTGGGCAGAGGTAAGAGTGTCCTGCTTGGCAGGAGTCTGGTTAGCGGAGTCCCGCCAGGCACTGTTCCGTTCTGGTGACTTGAGAAGTGGGTCAGACACGCTGGGCGCACTCTGCTGGGCGTCCGGTGGCTCCGACAGCCGCTCCGGGTGCGACCCCTACTCACCTGGCGCGGGGTCGCCACCCATGCGCAGTTAGGACGGGTGGCCTCGGCCCAGGACGCCTGACCAGTGCTGAGAGCTCCACAGAGGATGTCCTGGTCAGGGAGAGGGAGGCGGCACCTAGCCCCAGCCGGAGTGAAATCACATGGGAAGGCCTGCCTCCCAGTGACGCCGAGCTCCGCACCTGCACCTGCACCTGCACCTGCACCTCCCTCGGAGCCCCCAGGTCTCTCGGTCCATGGTCAGGAGAAACCCCATTCCCCACCTCACTCAACAGGCACATGAGTCGCAGCCATGGCAAGGCCCGCTGGTGACTGCAAGTGTGGACCAGCGGACCCCCCCACACCCTGATGGTGCCTGGGGCCCCTGATGGCTGGCTCAGAAGCCGGTGATCTCCATGTGGCTACCCACAGCCCGGCCCAGGCCTCTACCCGTGGCTTCAGTGACGCCGTCCGACACCCCTGGAGACTTGGACACACGTGCCCCTGGGTGCCTGTCCCGGGCCTGCTGGCACCAGAACCTGGAATGCTCTGAGGACAGGGATGGGGCCCGGCCAGCCGCTCCTGCTCAGCCCAGAGCCCAGCCTAGACCTTCCTAGGAGTCTCGGCCAGGCACAGGCACCGCCCTGCAGGAGCTCCATGGCAGAGTGGTGCTGGGACAGTTAGGGGCTGAGGCCACGCAGCTGGCGGTAAGGAGGGGGCCTTACTGCACGAGCTGACCCTGAACCGGGGACAAGTCCCCAGAACCGAGGATACGGACAGGGACACCCTGGGAACAGAGACCTGCTCCCTGGGCCATGTGGGCACTTGGCCTGAGCCTGACACCCTCAAGGCAGCAGGTCAGAGGTCAGGACGCCACCCCATCTGCTCCGCCTGGCAGGGCCTCGTGGGCAGTGCCCTGGCTCCTAGTGCTGGCCATGGGGGCGGGTGGCAGGCCCAGGTGGGGACTGCACAGCCAAATGCTGAACAGCACAGCACCGGGGCATCATGGCCAAGCGGGCGGCAGGGACAGCTCCCTAGGCACAAGGAGGTCCTCTGCCCACACAGCTGCCGTCTGCCAGTGTGAGGGAGCCAGGACAGGGTGACAGCCTTGGTCCCCGAGTCCTTGCATGAGGAGGGGGAGGTGTGGGTATCGGCAGTTGTCCCACCCAGCCAGGCAGACCCCGAGAAGCCAGTGTCCTGTGCTCCCCAGCAGCCTCCAGCTGGGCAGCACCTCACTGTGCCCTGGGACTGCAAGAGCCTGTCCGAGACAGGAAAAGGCCAGGGTGGTGAAGCAGGCTCCCCGAGGGCAGCAGCCCCGTGTCGTGTCCTGCTCCTCCCCGGCCCGGCAGCCCACACGGCCTAGCTGCAGAGAGGAAAGCTACTTCAAGTGTGACTGACACACCTGGCCTTCCTAGCAGGGCCCCAGGGACGGAGGAGCCCTGGTGCCGGTCCCCGGGCCGAGTGAGAGTGAAAAGCACCGTCTGTGCCTTGTGGCTTTATTAGGTCCAGTCAGGCTGCGGGGGTGGTGGCAGAGGTGGTGAGGCTGCCACGCAGCCGAGCGTAGGGTGCAGCTGAGCTCCCTAAGTGCCTTCCTGCCGAACTTCCAGGGCATGGAGGATGTCCCGGGCCAGGGAAGCCACCAGTCTGTTGTCAGGTGAGCTGCGGGAGAGACCAGGGACCACTTAGTGACCTGCTCCACACGGAGCTGCCTGGCCCGGGGCCGGGAGGCGAGGGCTGACCAACAGCCTGCGCTCCGGTGGCCAGCGGCATCCCTGACCCCAGAGTGTGCCGGGCCTGCAGGGGCTGCCCGGAGCAGCACAGATGTCTCAGGCCCGCGCCGCCCTCCCCGGGTCCCCACACGGCCAGCCCGAGCTTGGGTCCTGCTTCCCGCAGAGTGGGTCGCTTCAAACCTGCACCACAGCTGGAGCGCTCAGCTGCCAAGTGGCAAGGGGCAGCGCTGTGCCCAGGAGCTAGGCCGTGCTGCGGCGTGGCAGGAACCTCACCCTCTGCCTGCTGGGCATGGGGGTGGGCAAGGAGCCCACTCCCTCTCAGGGCCGCTACAGGAAGCCCTTTTGCTGGGCCCAGCACCGCCAGAGCGCCCCAAGCCTAGGCAGTGAGCACCGGGGAGGGTGCAGGAGCCCACAGCACACAGGTCCACCTGGTGAGGGGACCCACAGCCGCCGTGCCCCTCCGCTCAGCCTGGAGCCACGTCGTGGGTGTGGCGGGCGGAGGCTGGCGCTTCTCCCACACCAAGCGAGCGGAGCAGCAGGAGTCCCCCTCCCCCCGTGGGGCCAGGAGGCTGAGGGCAGGGAGTCGCCTGCCCCCACGTGGATCTGCAGTGGCCTGGGTACCCTGACTCTCACTGTTGGCCGCTGCTGTCCTGCCCCTTGTCCTGGGAGTCCCTGGCGGGTCCTGCCTCGGCCTCCTAGGTGCTGAGTCCCCAGTGTGTGCCACCAGCCAGTCTTCATCTGCTTGCCCTCCAGGAGTCCTGAGGGGGCATCCGCCTTCCTGGGGAAGCCCCGGTGCCACTGTGGAGCCCCCCCCCCCACCCGCAGGGGTCTCAGGGCGGGGCAGGGGAAGGTCCTGACCAGGGGGTGGGGGCGGGGAAGGGGTGGGCAGTCATGCTGCCCTGCGTCAGTGGCCTGGCCCATGTATTCCACCCAGGCCCCGCGAACCCACCCTAGGTCCCACAAACCCCACCACAGCCCCCTGAACCCCCCCAGGGCCACACATAGCCACACATAGCCCCGCAAACCCTCACCCAGGTCCCGCACAGCTTACTCAGGCCCACACGCCCCACCTGGCGCCATATAACCCCTCCCAGCACGCCCGCACCCCACTTGGGCCCCACATACCCCTCAGCCCGGGCCAGCCGCTCCAGCACCCTCTGCAGGCCACCTGCCTGCTCAAGGCGCACCCGGTGCTGCTCGCTGGAGGTGACCTGGAGGGACAGGGGGGAGGGCCGTCACTGGAGGGGACCATGGGGACAGGAGGGAGGGCCGTCACTGGAGGGGACCTGGAGGGACAGGAGGGAGGGCCGTCACTGGAGGGGACCATGGGGACACGGGGGAGGGCAGCAGCCACTGGGTTCCACCCCAGGCATGCGGAGCCCCGCGCAGTCCTGCACCCGCGAACGCCCAGCAGTAGCAGGAAGTCGGGCCGACACTGGGGACAGGAAAGACGGCAGGCTGGCGGGCGGGGGAAGGAACTTGGTTCCCTGGGCGAGGGCGAGGGCGAGGGCAGGCCACAGCAAGGTGCTGGCTGAGGCCCGGGCCCCAGTCCTGGGAGAGGGTGGACAGGGCGGGAGGGGGAAGGCACAAAGCCTGTGGGCAGGAAAGGTCCTGTCGCCAGCCCAAGGGGCAGGTGCCAGCCACACGCAGCGTGTGCAGACGAAGCGTTTCCTCATCTCAGCAGCAGCCAGCAACACAAGGACTGCAGAGGCAGGAAGAACACAGTGGGTAACCTGAGACGCAGGACGTGGAAGGCCCAGGCAGCACAAAGGAAAGCAGGACGTGGAAGCACCAGGGGTGAACACGGCAACCGAAAGGCAGACAGAACCCAACACACAGATCACCCGAGATCACACCACTCCAGCGAGGACCTGGAGCCGCACTGCTGGGAGGGGAGGAGCCTTTAAGGGGCGGGGCCTAGCGGGAGGTCATAGGTTGTGGGGGTGTCCTCTGGGGCGGGTTGACCCTTGCCTGCAGGCCGGGGAGCTGGTGGGACCTCCGTGCCTCCTCAGAGGCTGGCGATCCCTGTGCTTGCTACGTGACACAGGTCTGAGCCACACCGTGCAGACACAAGGCTGGACACACACTGGTGTCGGGAAGGGCGGCTTCGGGACGAGGGAAATTACAGGCACAGCAGGACGCCGCACTGCATGAAGGGTGGTGTCCCCGAGAGGGCCTGACAGTCCGCGTTCGTAAGGAGCAGCTGACAACTGGAGGGCAGCGGACCTCAGTCCTCCTCTCACAGGGACAAACCGAGTGAATACAAACCAAACAGCGAGATGTGGCGGAGCAGCAGCACCCTCGACCAGCGGGGCGCAGTGACCTTGGGGCAGCTCTGAAGTCCCCACCTCGGTTCACGGCTCCCCAGAAACCCAGGGACATAACTCGTGAGAGGGTGCTCAGCGTCACAGAGCAAGTCTCAAAACATCCCATAACCAAAACATCTGAAGTCTTCTCCAGAGGAGAGAATGTACTAGAAGTTAAAGAAGAAGACAGGTGTGGTGGACTGACAACTGGTGGTCAACTTGTAACCCCCAGCTGAACTGACAGCCTGGTGCTGGGCGTGGGGGGCCCACCTGAGGAGTGTTGCCAGCAGCATAAGAGGCGGAGCTGGACAGGAGGCTGTTAGGGTGCTCCTGGGAGCTAGCGCTTCTGCTGGACAAGCTTGTCACACTGGCTTTCCCTGGTATGAACGGCTGTTCTCGTTGTCGGAGGAGTTTGCGACCTCACTGCTTGCTTTGAGCATTGCTTCCTGGTTCCAGTGCAGATCCCTCAGCCTGCTGGCACAGATCCTTCATCCCGCTGACTTCCTAGCTTCCACACTGACCTTGGGGCCTTCCCAGTGTAGATCCATGAAACAGGCCTGCATAAGACACTGTCGTGGGCTCTAGGCCTCCAGCTGGACTCGTGGGAGGCATGGTTATGAGCTCTAGTCTTCAGCTGGACTCATGCAGCACTGTGGGATCCAGGCCCTCAGCTGGATTCTTTGGTCTTTAGTGTGTGGACAGCCCTCCTGCACTCTCTTTGTATTTGATTCTCTCGGCGACTATTATTTAATAATCCTATAAATTATGTGTCCTATGTTGTATTGCTCCCCTGACCACAACAGCAGGATATTCCCTGTCCCTTGGAGATAACTAACATACTTCTAAATAAGCCAAAGGTCCAAGGTGACATCCCGAGGAAAATTCGGAAAGTATTCACAGCTGAATGAGAATGACTGCAGAACACGGCGACACCCAGGGGCCGCCAGAGCAGTTTCTAAAAAGGAGATGCGCACTACTCCACATCCACAGTCAGAAAGAGGAAACGTCTCAGGTCGGTGAGCCCAGCTCCAAGCTCCAACCAAGGAACTGGAAGAGCAGAGAACACCCGAGCCCAAACTGAGAGGAAAGGGAACGCCCACGAGCAGGCGTCAGGAGTGATGTGCTTCACATGAGCCCAAATACACCAGTACTACATTAAATGTGAGTTAACCAAATACTCCAAATAAAAGCTTAAGGTTTTCAAGCCAAATAGAAAACACAAACACACATTATTACCTGGGAATCATCTTAACCAAGGAGATGAAAGACTTCTACAATGTGAACCACAGAACTTTAAGGAAGAAACTGAAGAGGACATCAGAAAGTGGAAAAATATCTTTTTTCTAGGATCAGAAGAACTAATACTATTAAAATGGCCACATTGCCAAAAGCCATCTACACCCCCAGTGCAGCCTCTTTCTACACACCAACAACATGCTTCGAATAACTGCAAAAAACAGATGTTCGTGTAGTAACAGAGAAGCCAACAACCCTGACCCAGAAGACAGGGCTGGGGCTTCACATTATTTCAGGTCAAGGATGCTACAAAGCCATGGCACCAAAGCAGCACGGTACTGGCACAATAGACACTAGGCCAACAGGACAGAGCAGAGGGTGCGGACACAACCCGCACACCTCAAGCCTCCTAATTCTGACCTGGGGAAGAGACAGCCTCTTCAGCAGATGGTGCTGGCAAGACTGGAGGTCCACAGGCAGAGGACTGCAACTAGATTCTGTTCTCACCCTACACTCAAATAAAAATGGACCAAAGACTTACATACAGAAACAGAAAATTTGAAACTGCTGGAAGATAATATTGAGAAACACCTGAAGCCCTAGGCACAGGCAAAGACTTCCTGAATAGGACCCCAACAACACAGAAAACAATCTCCAGAATCAACAAACGTGACCGCGTCAAACAAAAATCTTCTGCACAGAGAAGGAAACAGGACAGTGAAGAGACAGCCTGCAGAACGGCAGGAAGTACTGCTCACTGCTCTTCTGATAGGGATTAATATTGGGAATATACAGAGAACTCCAAAAAACCTACATAATAGAACAAAAACCCAACCAATACATGGCAAATGAATTGATCAGTCCTTAAAAAGAGTACAAATGGCCTAGAAGTTTGCATAAAATGTCCAACTTTTTTTTTTCTGTCTTTTTGAGACAGGGTCTCACTGTGCAGTTCAGGCACAGTCTTGAACTCACTTTGTAGCCCAGGCTGGCCTTGAACTCAAAAGGATCCTCCTGCCTCAGCCTCCCTTCTGAGTGTTGGGATTACAGGCATGTGCCACCATGCCCAGCTCAAAATGTCCAACATCTTTAGCTATCAGGGAAGTGAAAATCAAAACTACACTGAGTTTCCATCTCACCCCAGTCATCGGGAACACAAGAAAGGATAAATGCCCACGAGGAAGGGCAGGTAGGAGAAGCCTCCCCACTACTGGACCAAAAGGGAGATCCCACCTTGGGCTCAGTGGGGAGGGTCTCAAAACACCAAAACCAGGCGCAGAGTCCGACCCAGGCACGCACTCAGGGTTCTCCTAAAAAGAAGGGAAGGTGACACCCACACTTACAGCAGGACGGCACAAAGCGCCAGGGCACAGCCTGGGTGACCACTGACAGTTGGACAATAAGGAAAGTAGACCATCGTCGAAACAAAAGACGCGGACTGGGCTGCATATCATGATCCCCCTTACGTCAGAAGGCAAAGACACAACGAGTGACTGGAGTGAAGTGGGCCGCTGGGAAGTGCGCAGGCTGGCCGGGCGGGGTCCGCACGGGGGGCACCGAGGGGCCGCGAGCGCGACGTGCGCATCCAAGCAAACCTGGCCGTTCTGCAGCGCCAACGAGCACTAAGGACAGAGAGAAAACCACCGCCCTCACGCCTGCCGCGGGTCCCTCGCGGGCTGTGGCCCAGTGACTGCATGGCGGTGACAGCGCCTGAGCAGCCAGCAGCTCGCGCTGGGCGCTCGTGGCCCGGAGCTCACGGCTTCCTGTCCGCACAGCTTTGCGGGCCAGCACCTCCTGTGAACGGCGGGGCGGCCTTTGCTGTGGACCCCGAACTTCAGGGGGGACAGGGACCGTGGCGGCACATGCACTGCCCAGTGAATGGTTCCGACTCAGACACGGCTCGGGGCGACGTCCTGCAGGGTCTGTCCCCGCGTCAGGCAGTGCCCGCCCTCACTAGCCACCCGGCGGGCCTCACCCCTCATATTCCTCACCACGAGGCCACACGAGGGGCAGGAGAGGCGCTGGTCACCAGGAGCACCGGGGTGGTGGCCGGGTCAGGTCCACTCCCCTGGCTCCACACTGCGGCCATGCTGTTTCTGCCCACCCCCCCCCGCCCCCGCCGTGTCCCTGGCGTAGGCCCGAAGCTGTCCCGGCTGGGCCAGCATCTGCCTAGTGCCAACGCCGGTACTCCGCGGTGGGGACCAGGAGCCAGGCCGCAGGGGAGGTGCGGCCTGCAGAGCCAGCGCCCGCGTGCGGCGCCACCCTCTCTGTTTCTGGACAGCGGGCACTACGCTGCAGAGGCGGCGCGTTCAGGGTTCACATGCTCTTCTCTCCACCTGCGAGACACGGCCATCTACCCGCCAGGAGAAAACACCACAGCTGCTCCTTCGCACGGCCGGCCGGTTCTCCGCGCTCCGCGGGGCAGCGATAGGGCCCCATCACTCACAGCGGCCATAACGACATCAGTTCCTGGCCGTTAACCCCGGCCGCTTGAAGCGCGGGATATAATATAGCTGCTCTGGGAGATCTTTTAGGGCTGATCTGGCTAATCATCTACAACAGCCAGGTCCAAAATAAGTGAGGAAAAATGGTGTTAATTGGTAAAAAATGATAGTTGTGGACCTCTTGTGGCTATCAGAACAAACTAGACTCGGCCCAGAGGAGGTTCC